TTTGTAAAACCTGGTGTCACTATAGGTCTCACAAGTACCACTTTTATTCCAGTCTTTAACTGTTCATAATGGGCATAGCAAGGGTTGGAGTGAGAGCCTACTTCCTACCTCTTAAGGCACTTTCCTCATTGTTTTGCCATATAACCTTGAACTGCATGATAAGCTGTTGAAATATCCATGACTTTTCCCAGAGCAACTAGCAAGGTATATGACATTTTGGCTAGAGATTAGTGGGAAGGAAAATTTAGAGGTTTAAAAGTCCAGATGTATGAACCTCAAAAAATGTCTTCTAAACACATACCATTTAAGTACAATATATGGAAATGTATTTGAGCAGAGAGTCACTATAATAGTTCTCTCTAAGTAGATTAGTTCAATGTCCAATGAAAGTGAACATCTTTATTCCTATATTACTATAGTACTGGATGAACTGTATACTGAGTTTTTCAAACAAGTATTTAAAGTAGAACTTTTAAGTACAGAGCAAGGGCATGAGGATAAAGACTTTGGGTTGTGTTTCTGTAAGTGTAGTTTACCATATAAAGCTTTGTTTCTTAATTTTTTAAAAAAAAGGTTTCAAAGTATTACCATTCATTAGCATCCTTAATGATTATGAGTGATGAGCGTGTAACTTGAAATCATATACATGTATTAGTTTATCTTAACTTTTTGCCCTAAATAAAAGGGAAGGTGTACACCTAAAAGATGTAATTATTTTGCATTTTTGGCCATGGGTGGGAATGGGGTGGGTATCTACTTGAGCAGTTTTTAAAAAAGAAAAAAATTAGAAATATTTTTCTACTATTATATATGATCTTCCTTTATACTAGTTAATCTCTCTGTAAGGCATGCCAGAAGCCCAAGCAAGGTACCATATCAAGGGTTCTTACGTGCTGTACCTTTCATTGGTGGATAAATCACATCAGATGCTTGGCATTGTGGCCATAGTTACGAAGTGCTTGTGAGGATCAGATTTCACTGAATACTAATTTGTTTTACTTAAGAGTCTAATCTGGGAAGTTTGCAAATCATACTATTAATGTGTAATCTAAGCTCTTTCCAATGTATCCATGAATAATCCTGGAACAATATTGCTTGTATTCCTGTCACATAACAGGTTTTGTAATCTTTAAAAGAAATGGAAATTTATATAATAAAGTTTCAAGTAAAGCATGTATGCCCCTTTTATCTGATTATTTTAGTTATATGATCAGAACTTTACAATATAAAATTTTCTATCCAAATTGTTTTTATGAAATTGTATTGATAGAATTTAAATTAGGAATATTTCTAATTTAATACATGCAAAATAATTTTGCTATGCATTGTCTTAGAATCATGTAAGCCGAACATCTTCCCCAATATTAGGCCAGGCATAAATGAAATAATCTTGTCTAGAAGTCCACAGCTACCAGACTTGGCTCCAAAAATTCCCCTTCTCCATTGTTATCTTAGTTCTCCTTTGGGTTTCCTCTGCTATCCAGAGTGAACCTTGTGACCTCAGAATTGATTACCCGAGCCTTCTTACTGTACCCACGAATCAAAACTCAAGTCTTTGCTTCTTGATTAATTCTTTCTTCATTTCCAGGTTCTGTATAAAACTGTACAAGTATGCAAATGGAACTGCAGGTTTCTGGGTTTTCATTGCACTTAGAGTTATTGAAGTCCATTCTCCCATTTCTTGTTCTTTTTAAAATAAAAAGTTTGGGGGGAAGGGGTAGAGAGGTGTTCTGGTTTTCTTTGGTTTGGGACTTTAGAGACAGGATTTCACCGTGCAAATCTTGGTCTGCATCTGAGTATGCAGACCAGTCTGTCCTCAAACTTGCAGCAGTCCTGCCACGGCTTCCAAAGTGCTGGGCTTCCAGGCATGCACCACCCCTCTGAGGTCCATTTGTCTTCAAAATGTTTTTATTGAGATCTAATTCATATATCCTAAAGTTTGCCCATTTAACATTTACAACTCAGTGTTTTTGGCACATTTGCAGAGTTGCATGGCCATCGTGATAGCCTAGTTTTAGAACCTGTCATCATCCCCAAGGGAAATTTGTATCCTATTCTAAACTACAACAGCTGTCTTTCTTGGACAGTTGCAATACCTGATACATAGTTTTGGTTTCTATCTTTGTCCCCTACAGCCATTCTTAACACACATTCCAAACAATCTGTTTAAAACCTACCAGGAGTTACAAGTGATCTGATCTCCTTACATCTCTAATCTTGGTCCTCTCTCCCAAACTGCTCCCTGGCTTGCTGCATTCTTCCTCATACCCTCTGTTCTAATTTGTTGTCTGTTGTGATAATCACCATGACCACTTGGGGAGCAACTTGGGGAGAAGAGAGCTTATTCAGCTTACATGTCCTGATCATAGTCATAGAAGGAAGTTAGGGCAGGAGAAGCTGAGACCATTGAAGAATTCTTCTTGCTGACTTGCTCCTTCTATGGCTTGCTCACCCTGCTTTCATATACTGCCAAAGACCACCAGCCCAGGGGCAAAACAGACCACAGTGGGCTGGATATCCTGCATCACACACTAAGCAAAATGGCCCACAAAGATGTCCACATGAAGGTAACTCCTCAGTTGAGATTCTCCCTTCCCCTGTAATTCTAGTTTGTGCTAAGATGGCAAAAACTAATCAGCACATTGGCCTGAGTCTTTCTTGACCATAAGCATAGGTACTGCACACAAGGCCCTTGTCCTCCCTGTTTTCTCTCCCTACACATTTCTGACCAATGTCCACATGATTCGCCTCCTCCTCAGTTATCTGATAAACAGATGTAGGAACCTTGCTAAAGGAAACAAAAAACCTGACTTGTATTTTCTCCTATAAGGCTTTACATCAAGTACATGACTTTGGTTGTACACTTCGGGTCTGATTACTTGTGTACTAGGCATAATTGCTAAACACCTAACATATTGCATTAATTCCTATGATAAGAAAACTGAGGCTTGCAAAGGCTGTCTCAGATCATAGAGTAAGAAGTTTTGTAGAATCTATTTAAACTCAGGTCTCTATAAACTCCAGAGCCCAATCTAGGAGCGTTTTGAGTTTCAGCCATGCATGATAGTTCATTCCTGAAATCACACCGTAGAGATGGAGGAAAACCGGGCTACATATTGAGCCCTGCCCCCTCCCCCAAAAAGCCTGTAGGTTGAAAAAAATACAACTGAAAAGAGGACAAACAACCTTTTGATTCCCCTGTCATTTTTCATTTCTTGAGACCTGGTCTCACTGTATATGTATATATAAACTCAAAGGTTCCTGCTGCCTCGGACTTGGGAGTGCTGAGATTAAAGGTGTGTACTAACATGCCCGGTTTCCCCTGTCATCTTTTAATTACACTCTGAGAAATGTCGCTGAGTTTCTGAGGTGGGCAGCAGCTGTAGAATGTTTACCAGCATTGCCGGCCTCTACTCGGGCATCAGTATCATTCCTTCCTTCCTCCACTCCTGACAGCCAGAAATGTCTCCAGACGTTGCCAAATGTCCACAGTAGAAAGTACTGTTAGATCATTATACCATATTTCTCTTTCATTTAGGCTCCTTCCCTGTAGAATGTTAAAATGCTAGTGTTTCCAAAAAGGTCATTTAAAATAAGCCTGACTTTAAATTTCTATATATTATTACCAGAATGGAGGGGTGTGTGTGGTGGTCAGAGAACAACTTTGTGGAGTTGGTTCTCTCCTTCCACAGGTTCCAGGGACTGAACTCAGCGTGCCAGGCTTTCCTGCTAAGTTCTTTTACCCACTGAGCCATCTTGCTGGCCCAAATAAACCTGGTTTGAATTGAAGTTACTTGCTCTGAGAAGCTATGACGTATTCCTTTGCTGAAACCACCAGAACGAAGAACAGGAGAGTGGGTTGTTTAAACATCAAAAATGCACTTTCTTTTCACTGTGTTGTTTGTTTTGTAGTCGGGGTCTTACTATGTAGCCCAGGCTAGCCTGGAACTCATTATGTACACCAGCTTTCCTCTAAATTTGAAGCAATCCTCCTGCCTCAGTCTCACAGGTGCTAGGATTATAGGTGTGAACTACCAGCCCTAACTACTACTTTTACTCAGTTTTGAAGACTCCAAGTCTCAGGACAAGGTGGAGACAAGTTTCTTCTGCGGTCTCCATGGCTTGCAGATGCTTACTGGCTCAGGAACTGTTTGTTCTTCTTTATGCCTTGTTATGCCTAGGTGCTAACTGCACTCGATTTGTTTTTGGTTTTGAGATCATGTCTCACTCTGTCTCCTTGGCTGGCCTGTAACTCATAGAGGTTTACTTTTCTCTGCCTCCTCAGTACTGAGATTAAAGGCCTATGTCACCATGCCCAGCTTAATGTCAAGTCTTGGCATCAAGTCTAAGAATCTCATTTCAATATAACCTCTTTAATGACCTTATATCCAAATATATAGGTGTTAAAACTTGAGCATGAATATTGGAAGATTCAGCTCCTAACATCAACCTTCTTCCATTCCTTTTATCCTGTGTGTGCTGAGCAACCTACTATGTGCAGACATTCTATTAAGTGTTATAAACAGATCTGGCTACAGTTGAGTTAGGGACGAGATTAATTTTTAAGAACCGAGCAAATATTCTTTTAAAGTTTGGAAGGGGATGGCAGGAGGGCCTTCTCTCCTTCCCCTTAGATTTCCAGCTTGGTTGGGCTGGTGAAAGGGCCCCATTAAAACTCAACTATGAGGTTAGTGAGTCAGCAGCTTGTCAAGCCTGGGACTCACTTGGCTAGGAAGCAGAGATGATGCCCAAGCCAGCAGCCTGCACCACCTCAATTTCCCCTCCTCTCCCCCACTCCTCCACTATGACGCAGGGCCCCTCCCAGCCCCTTCCGGACGCCAGGGGCCCCGCTCCACCCACTGTGTGCCCAGTGGCAGCAGTGAGCCCCTCCCTGGCAGGCTTCTCCCTCGGCTCCCACCGTAGGGCTTCCCCTTGGCCACGCCTGCGCCTTAGAACCGAGGGAGGGTGGGAGGCTGGGCCCGGTAGGCCAGGGAGGAGGAGGGCGGGGAGAAGCGCCGCCCGCTGCCGCGACGCCATTTGCCACTGCCGAACGTGGGCACAGGCGGCTCTCGTAAGCACCGGTGACCAGCCTCTCCCGAGCACGCTTTTCGACCTCCCGCACAGTCTTCATCCCGCGCACTTCTCAGCGTCGCCCGTCAGAGCCACCGCCTTTCCTGCCACCAGCCCTAGCAAGGTCCCACACGCCGCCAGCCGGTCTTTGCCGCCATGCCCAAGAATAAAGGTAAGGACGCCGCGGGGACCCGGGCTCTGCTCCCCGCCGGCTCCCTGGCTCTGCTCGCGGCCTCGAGGTCAGCCCAGGCCGCAGTGACCTTCTTGCCATCTTTCCTTGCCTCTCCCCGGGCTGCATTCTCTGGGTCTTACCCAGAGCTCGGCAGAAGCGCAGGGAAGTTACCCCTGGCTCCCAGTTTGGCCACATTGGGGTGGAGCCGACGCCATTTTTTTTGTAGGGCCTCCTGTGTGAGAATGTGGGCTCGTGCCCCGGATTCGCGCCACACTGACCGCGGCGCTAGGGGGACCCGTGGGAACACCTGCCTCAGACTCCTTGGGCTTCCAACATGTGGGGAGTTAAGCCCTGGGAGCGAGTCTGAACTTTGAAAAAGGGCGATGCCTTGCTTGCTTTCGTGCCCATCTGGCACCTCCTCCATAGGATTCTTTATGGATACTTAGTTGGTCCTGTTGAGGCTGCTCGCATGTAGCCAGTGGACAATACTTTAATGCATTTTAAGTTTATCCCTAGAGAATCACTTTGCTACATAGTTTTTACCGGGCCTAACTTTTTCCACAGAGCACTTGACCTATATTTAGCCAACTTTTCCACTTTTGCTTCAGGTCGTGTATAGATTTAAAGTATTTTGTGGTGGTGGTTTTTTATGGGGGTCAAATCTATCCTTACCGGCACTCTACTGCTTTGCTTTGCTCTGTTTGCCCTCAGGCTGACCCGGAATTCACGCTGTAACCCAAACTAACATTGAACTTGGGATTCTCCTGCTTCAGCTTCCCGAGTAGCTGGAGTTACAGGCTTGCTACATTCATTGTCCTCGTAATTTCTCACAGATACAAAGTAAAAAGTAGTTAAAAGCTTATATTTCCTCCAGGAGAGGAACAAACCCATTACACAGCCCTTAAGAACTGGTGGGGGGGAGGGGCGTGCGCCTTTAATGCCAGCACTTGGGAGGCAGAGACAGGTGGATCTCTTGAGTTCAAAGTCAGCCTGGTCTACAGAGTGAGTGCCAGGACTACACAGAGAAGCTCCCTCTCTGAAAAAAAAAAAATAGTCTTGGAGCAGAAGAGATGCGTGTCTTCTTGGTTAAGAGAACCAAAGCGAGAGGCTCCCACACCCACATAGGGCTGCTCATGACTGCCTGTAATTCCAGCTCTAGGGGATCTGACGCCCTCTTCTGCCTCCCCCACCCCTCCACAATCACACACACATTTAAAAAAAAAAGCTAAGTCTTTGATCATTCATCCTTGGGACCTTCTCCTTTGCCCAATAATAATCTCTTTTCTGCTTGAAAGTTGGCTCCAAGAAGTCTACTTAATTACCCTTTGTGCCTGTTACCAGTTACATTAGCCCTCTGAGTACTTGGTCACAGTTTTGTGAACAAGTTGATTTAAGATAGCCTTGCAGTCCTTCCCCTAACTCTTCCCACAAATGTAGCAGAGGACTGACTTGCCTGGGAGAGGAGATGGTGGGGATAGGGGGCGGGAACATCCTCTCAGAGGCAGGACTGGGAGGGGGAACATACGGGATGTAAATAAAAAATAATTAATCATCTAAAAAAAAATTAAGCCAGGGAAAAAAAGCTAGTCTTGCCATGTGGCCCCAGCTGACCTTGAAATTATCTACATCTCACTGCTGGGCCTCCAAAATGAAGGTTGCCAGTCTTTGTGCAAGGATTGTTGTTGATTGTCCTGAGAAAACTGTGATTATAAGCATAATGTTCAAAGTTTTAAAATTGCTACCTATAGACATCCTTATTCCAAGATGGCAGCTGGACCACCTCAATAGGTGAGGGGTCTTAATCTCACCCTAATTCTAGTGACTAGATTTCCAGTTGTCACACTAATTGTAAACCCTAAGAGGATAGGAATGGTGTCAGTCATAATCACACTGGTTCAGTACTACTTAGCCTAAAAGATGCTCAATAAATATTTGCTGGACTTACTCACCTCCTGTCTGGTGACTCCACCCATAGGGGAATAGTAGATTCCCATTTGGTTCCAAGGAGACAGAACTTGTACACTAAATCACATTCTAGATGCTAGCCTAGTATGTTTTAAGAAGTATCCTACCTTATTTCTCTGAAACACCTCTGTAGTTTAAAGCAAGGATTTGAGAATTGTAATTGAGCTTAAGAACTAGGTAAGTCTTTTTAAAAAAGAGTGAGGTTGAAAAGAGTGGTTCTTCTTTTTGCTGCTGTTCTGTCATACTCAGGCTTGGCCTCATTTCATTCTTTCTTTGTTTTGATTGTGACAGGTTTTTTTTTTTTTCTGTGTAACCTTGATTGTCCTGAACTCACTCTGTAGATCAGGCTGGCCTCAAACTCACAGAGATCCGCCTGCCTCTGCCTCTGGGATTAAAGGTGCACTGGCCTTCATTCGTTCAAAGGAGAATTTGAAAAGCACTTGATTTTCATGGCAATAAAATGGAAAGGGGAAGAGTGGGGAGTCTTGGGATTGCGGGCAAACAAGCACCCCTACTCACTCATTTCCTTCAATCCCTGTATATTATTCCATTGTATGGTACCACGGTCGATATGCTTACCCTTAAGATATGTAGGGCTAGAAACGTGGCTCAGCAGTTAGGAGTACTGGCTGCTCTTCAGAGGTCCTTCGTTCAGTTCCCAGCACCCACATGGCAGCTAACAACTGTCTATAACCATTTGTAGGGCATCCACTGTCCTCTTCTAGTGCCTCCTTAGGCTCCGGGAAAGCCCACAGTAAACAGACAGACAGACAGACAGACACAACATTAAATACATTTTAAAAGAGGCTCTAGAGGCATTTAACACTTTGCTTTTAAACTTAAAATATCTTGGTTATGGTACACTTTACAAGATAAAAGTTTTGACTCGTGGGTTTAGACTCGTGGAGTTACTAGCCTTCTGCCGTTATGAGATCAGTATGTTCCGTTCTAGAAGCAAAATTTCATTTTCCTCTCATCTGTCATGGGGGGGGGGGCGGTCAGGTACTGTTTGGTAAAAATTATTAGGACCCAGTATGGTGGCTCATACTTCTACTCCCACATTCCGGAGACTGGGACAGAAGGATTGCCCCAATTTCAAAGCTAGCATGGGCTATAATGAGAGACCCTGTCTCAAAAAAAAAAGGAAGCTGAGGCCTGTGTGGTTAACACTGTGGAACAGAATTCTCTGGAAAGGAGCCCTAATATGAAAGCCCTGGTAGGAAAGGGGAGAATTGAGGCTGGTTCTGGGATCCCAAGCTCATTGACTAAAACTTTGAATGAGTTATTTAATCCTTTAACTTCAGTGAATTACTGGTAAACCGGGACTAAATGACAATATTGGAGATGATTGTAACAAGTGGGTGGCACTCTGAAGTAGCAGGTAAGAGCATGGCCACTGTGCTCATCTAACCATCTTGAGGACAGCCCCATGCCCAGCAGGATTGCGAACACAAAGGGAACTCAGTGGAGTCTTAGGAGGGTTTGTTTCTAACCTTACTTAACAGCTCCTTTACTGGGTTTGGGCTTTTGTGGCATTCCTGCCAGTGTGAACGCATGTCTCTTTGTCTTAGATGGGTTTCTTGTGCTCTGGTTGTTTTGTCATTCCTATTTGTTATTGTGTCTTTAATTTTATTGTTATTCCATGGATGCCTTCATTTTCTCGTGACACAGAATGAATCCATATGGGGTGGGAGATGGGGGAGGGGCAAAGATTTAGAAAATTCCATGAGGAGTTGGGAGGCTAACGTGGTAACATTATACACCTGAACATGGTAAGCTTAACATGATTAACCAGATTGAATCAATTTTTAAATTTAATTGCGTTTTAAAGGTGCTTTTCTAGCTGGGTGGTGCCGGTGCACACCATTAAACTCAACACTTGGGAGGCAGAGGCAGGTAAATGGATCTCTGTGAGTTCCAGGCCAGTCTGGTCTACACAGAGAAACACTGTCTCCAAAAACAAACATAAAAAGACAGGTTTTTAAGTCTGTTAAACAATGTTTGTCTAACATTTTTCTTTTTCGAAGTGTTTTGCAGATAACTGATAACTTTTTTTCTTACCAAAACCACTAGGAAAAGGAGGTAAAAACAGGCGTAGAGGAAAGAATGAGAATGAATCCGAAAAGCGAGAGCTTGTGTTCAAGGAAGATGGACAAGGTAAGATGCTGGAGAAGCTGGGCTCTTTCTTGTTTGAGTTTCCTTTGTTTTCCTATGTTGGGGATCAAACATTTTCTGGCTAACAGATTATATTCCTGGCTGGCTGCCTCTGATAATGTTTGAGTTTATTTGCACCTACATTTGGGTATTATTTTTTCTTAAAAGATTCTGGTTGGGGCTGGAGAGATGGCTCAGCGGTTAAGAGCACTCACTGACTGTTCTTCCAGAGGTCCTCAGTTCAAATCCCAGCAACCACATGGTGGCTCACAACCATCCGTAATGAGATTGGATGCCCTATTCTGGTGTGTCCGAAGACAGCAACAGTGTACTCATACATAAAAATAAATAAATAAACAAATTTAATAAATTTTAAAAAAAAGATTCTGGTTAAGAATTTGGCATTTTAGGCCAGGCGTAGTAATACACACCTTTAATCCCAACACTCGGAGGCAGAGAGACAGGCAGATAGATCTGTTGACTTCCAGGCTAACCAAGGCTATATGACAATAAATATCCCATCTCAAGAAAAAGAGAATAATTTGGCATTTGACCTGAGTGAAAGATTCTGGCTTTCCAAGAATAAGTGCTGTTATACAAATTCAGCAAGGATATCACTAACATTTAAGATACTTGTACTGAAAATGTCATGAGATTTCTCTAATAAAGATTCAAGGAGGAAGAAGTAAGGGCATGAAACAAGTAAAGATCTGAGTATAAGACTTCTGAGGTATGATTTATGTACTGAGACTGGACACCTTTGATCTCTAGAGGTAGAGCATAGTCACAAGAGTGGTATAATTAAAAATGTCTAATAACAGACCCAGGTTGTTATATTACGAAGTCTTATTTCTAGTTCAACCATTAACTAGCCAAGTGTTTAGCGCCCTCTGTATATTCCATATTTGCCCTTTGTATATTTAGTCCTTATAAATGACATCACATGTTTTTTATCTTCAATGGACCATTATAAAGTTTCTTTTTATCAAAAAAAAGTAGGCAATATTTCTTGCATTTTTTTTCTCTTAGAATATGCTCAGGTAATCAAAATGTTGGGAAATGGACGATTAGAAGCCATGTGTTTCGATGGTGTAAAGAGGCTGTGCCACATCAGAGGGAAATTGAGAAAAAAGGTAAGTATTTGGACATCCACTTTATCCTAATATAAAAGTGTTGAGGAGTATAGAGGAAATGCCTCTGTGGGGGTTGGTGAGGTTGTTGCTGGGAAGCCATCCCAGGACCTCTTAACAACCACACTGTATTGAGGTACAGTTATTATGGACCCAAGGATATTCATGTAAGTCCAGTGTAAAACCATAGGAGTAATTTAAAGACTACATTCTTAACCATTCACCCAACAGATCTAATTTGAAGAATGGTCTAAAAAACAAATAGCCTATCTTGAAAACTGTTGATAATATGAAAGAGGGAAGGTGCTAGAGAACTCTTCCAGTTTCTTTTTTTTTCTTTTTTTCTTTTTTTTCAAGACGGGGTTTCTCTGTGTAGCCCTGGCTGTCCTGGAACTCACTCTGTAGACCAGGCTGGCCTCAAACTCAGAAAATCGCCTGCCTCTGCCTCCCAAGTGCTGGGATTTTCCAGTTTCTTTTTAAGGATTTATTTATTTATTTAATGTATACACTGTAGCTGTTTTCAGACACACCAGAAGCATTAGATCACATTATAGATAGTTGTGAGCCACCATGTGGTTGGCTGGGAATTGAACTCAGAACCTCTGGAAGAGCAGCCAGTGTTCTTAACCGCTGAGCCATCTCTCCATCCCCCAATTCTTCCAGTTTTAAGAAGTCCTAAAGAGGTATGGCAAATGGTCCTTTGCCTTCCTGGAAGTCCCAGCACCAAGTGAGAGGTGGTTGCAGGGGAGAATATGCTTTATTTTCCTGATACCAGTCCTTCACAAAGGAACACGATCGTGAAAGGTGTGTCAGTATGGACAGGTAGAAGACAGTGACTTAGAAAACCACATTTTTCTGTTTTTCTTTTTTTTTTAAGATTTATTTATTTTATGTATGTGAGTACACTGTAGCTGTCTTCAGATACACCAGAAGAGGGCATGGGATCCCATTACAGATGGTTGTGAGCCACCATGTGGTTGCTGGGAATTGAACTCAGGACCTCTGGAAGAACAGCCAGTGTTCTTAACCGCTGAGCCATCTCTCCAGCCCCATTTTTCTGTTTTTATAGTAGATAACCAAGTGGTTTGTAAACTCATCAGTTTCTAAGTGAATCATCTGTAGGATTTCATGATTCCATTTTATTTAAAATACATTATACAGTGATTTTTCTTTTGTAGGTTTGGATAAATACCTCAGACATCATATTGGTGGGCCTCCGAGATTACCAGGTAAGTCACTTTTAAGTTTGTTGGTGATTTGCTTGAACTTGAGGAGCCATTTCCTAATAGCCCATTGTGTCTTAGGCATTATGCTAGCTGTCCCTGGCATTATGGTTCCCAAATGCCAGTCTGAGGAGTGACATATTCAATTTTGTCATGACTATTTGAAGTTTCCCATTTTACAGTGAACCATACTACTTTTTGTCCTCCAGTTTTTCTTTTTTACTTTATGCATCCTTTAAAATCTAGGAACCAACTGTGTAGGGTTTTACAGCTGAATGAATCCAATTGTATCCCACAAATGGCATATAGCCTGGGATATTCATTTCTTTTATTAATTTACTTTACATCCCAATATCAGCTCCCCCTTTCCTCTCAGTACCCGCTCACCAAGAACCTTTCCCCATCCCTTCCTCCCCTTCTCTTCTAATTGCCGTGACCCAAGCAAAAGGAAGAAAGGGTCTGTTTTGGCGCAGTTTGAAGGGACAGTCTATCACAGTGGAGATTGCAGCAGGAACCCAAGGCAGCTGATCAGTGTCCCCACTCCTGTGTTGAGAATGACCTTGAGTTCTTATCTCTCCTCCCACCCCCATCCCAAATGCTAACATCATATCCACTACCGGTCCCTTTAATACCGTTTCTATTTGTTTGCCTTTCACTATACTTCATTTTTTACTTTTGTGTTCCTGATTAAGAGAGTTGACATCTTTGTTTTAAACCATAGGTTCTGTGTAAGTGATTCTGCCCTCCACGGGGGCATAGGCAGTGTTTGGAAACTATTCTGGGTACCATAGCTTGAGTGAGGGTCTGGTGATGTGGACCAGCATTCCACTGGCTCACAATTATCATTAGTGCTTTGCTTGAGAAAAGGTACTCCAAATTCATAAGCCATTTGTTCTTTTTTTAAATTCCTTAGGTTTTGATGCCAAGTCTCAGTCTTGACTTACGGTGTTTGATGACACTCAGTAAATTTTTCCAGGGGCTCATTTGTGCTTCTGATTAAAGTGTCATTATAAATGTAATGTAAATGATTAGGTCTGTGTGATTCTGCTGTCAAGAGATGTGAGCTTTTACTTCCCAGAATTTTTAGTCACTTCTCAGTTTGCGCTCATAAACCTTCTGAGTTAAATCTAAGGAAGGGGAAAAAGAGTTTATAGCAAAACATTGAGATTTGAATTTTTAAATTCAATTTGAAAGTATTGTATGATATAACAGATAATAGTATGATATAATCAGATCTAAAAATTGCTTGTTTTTAAGGACAACAAAGCTGATGTCATTTTAAAATACAACGCAGATGAAGCTAGAAGTCTCAAGGCCTATGGCGAGCTTCCGGAGCATGGTAATGATTGAGTTGTTATTAACAAGGCTTACGGTGTTGAGGTTACCTGCTGGCGTTTAAGGAGTGAATGAAATTTTGTAGATTTTTACAGATGATCCTATTTATTTTTGTGCTTAACAGAATTAGACTTAAGCATACCTGATTATACTTCATACAAGATATCATAAGAAAGAAGGTACTAAAATCCTGTTGCTGATAAAAGTATATTTAGTGAGAAAGTACAGTGTAAGCCAAAGGAATTATTTGATATGGTATATTAACTCCTTCAAGAAAGGTTAGTGGTGCAGTACAGTTTAGTCACGGCCACCTTAGCATGCACAGACCAGGTTCAGTCACTAGCACTATTGAAAAACACTCCTTCAAGAGTGTCCTTGTTTGTGTGTAAATATAAGGAGTAGTGACTATGTAGTATGGGTTTTCAGTGAATATCACTTTAAATCTGACAGATCCTTATGCATTACTGTATGTTTTTTAAACTAATATTCTTTGTTTCCCTCCTCGAAATACAAGTCTCCTATATCCTTTTCAGGGAGAAATATACTTTATACACTGTTTTGTAAGTCTATATTTTTTTCATGTGGCTGTTTTTTATTAAATGCCTGCAGTGTAATTTCTTATGAAAACATGACTTCTTGTTAACAGTAAGACCATACTGAGAATTATAAACTTGCCATTCCAATCTAGGAAACAGTAAGAGATTTGGGGATGGAGTAGTATGCTGATTCCTTTTCATTCTTTAGGGAAAAGCATGGTTTACCCAGATGTTTCTTCCTAATTAATTGGTGGGAATCAATTGTTCTTTTCCTTTTTGTTGTTGTTGTTGTTGTTGTTGTTTTGTTTCTGTATGGTTCACTTGGATCAGGAGTTAAGTTTTCTAGACACTTGAAACCTTCCTTAATACCAAGGCCAGTAGTGACTCCTCAAATCTGTCTCCCTCCAAAAATAACTTTTTCTTTCTTTTCTTGAGATAGGAAATAAAGTTGTTAGTATGTACATAAATTTCTGAAGCTTACCTGAAGGATGTAATTGCTTCAGAGTTAGTATAGTTAGAGATTGTCTTTTTCAGGAGCCCTTGTGAACAAAAGAAAATTAAAAATGCTCTCAATGATTTAATATTTTGCTCCATATAGCAAAATTGGTATAAAGTTGCAAGTCAATATTTTTATTATATTATCAGTGTTTTTCTTTGTGTGTGTGTGTGTGTGGTTTTTTTTTAGCTAAAATCAATGAAACTGATACATTTGGTCCTGGAGATGATGATGAAATTCAGTTTGATGACATTGGGGATGATGATGAAGACATCGATGATGTAAGTAGACACATCCTGCTTTTCCTGCTTTCTGTTTGTGAGTTACATAAAAAGATAATAGCCCTTTGCCTTAAATTTCTATAATACCAGGACTAGAGAACATTTAAATGAGAGTGTTTGTATATAGCTGTGTATATATTTGGAGTGGGGGGAACATTCAGAAAGAGGAAGACAATCAAGGTGGGAAGATGAAAGAATAGTAGGTGAATATTGGATAGAGACATGTTTGCACATGTATAAAATGTTGCAATGAAAACCATTATATACAAATAAAAGTGTATTTGGGAAACTGAAGCCAGGTGATTGCTTCAAATCATCCTGGATTGCAAAGCGAATACCAGGTCAGCCAGAACTACAGAGCAATACCTTGCACCCACACCTAGCTTTCAACATGGTACGATCATAACAAAAACATTTTAGGAGCTGGAAAAAAATGGTGTATCATTTAGCACACATCAGGCAGCTTATAACTGCCTGTAACGTCTAACCTCTGTTCACAAGCACATTTATAAAACAATTTTTTATAGTTTTTATTTTATTTTACAAATGTGCTTCTTTTTAAAAAAAATACATAATTTATATGTGTATTGGTGTTTTGCCTGCATGTATGTCTGTGTTAAGATGTCAGAAGCCCTAGAACTGGAGTTGCAAACAGGTATAAGCTTCCATGTGGATGCTGAGAGCTGAACTCTGGTCCTCTGGCTAAATACCTTTAGAACAACATTTTAAGGCTGGAGAGATGGCTTAGTAATAGGTAATGGTTCCAGAGAGCGCAGATTTGAGTTCCAGCACCCATCTGTAAACTCCAGTTCCAGAGGATTTCTTACGTTCTTCTGGCCTCCAAGGGCACTAGGTACACATATGGTGTACATATAAAATAAGTAACATTATATATAAAATAAGTAACACATGCTCCACAATAGAAAGTGAGTTTTTTGGGTTTTTTGGTGGTTTTTTTGGGGGGGGGGTTGAGACAGGGTTTCTCTGTGTAGCCCTGGTTGTCCTGGAACTCACTCTGTAGACCAGGCTGGCCTCGAACTCAGAAATCCGCCTGCCTCTGCCTCCCAAGTGCTGGGATTAAAGGCGTGCACCACCACCGCCCGGCTACGTTTGTTCTTATAAAAGCTTGCTGTATCACCTAAGACCTTTGCTTTCTCTCTTGGGTACGTTTCTCTAGCTGTTTTCTACATGTTTAAAGGTATTCTATCAGTGCTCCTGTAACCAAATTGAAAGAAAAGGATTAAGACATACTTAACTAGTTCTTAAGGGTCATGTTCATGTTGCCTCTTGTCTGTTCCTAATCCCAAAATACTAAATCTGAAATGACGGCTGGAGTGTTGACTTAGCTGTTGATGAAGCTTATTGTCTTCTTCCTTTTGCACTGCTTGCATTATTTCACTTCTTGAATCAAAAAAGGTTTTATTTGTGCGTGTGTGTCTGTGTCTGTGTCTGTCTGTGTCTGTGTCTGTCTGTGTCTGTGTCTGCGTATATGCATGTGGGTGTCAGTGGAGGCCAGAAGAGGGTGTTAGGTTCCCTGGAGCTGGAGTTGCTGTCAGCTGTGAACTACCTTATTGGTGCTGGGAACCGAACCATGGACCTCTGCATGAGCAGTAAGCATTCTCAAGGAGCAAAAAATTCTGAAATCCTGAGGGAAATGTTATCAGGGTTATATAGGAAATCAACTTGGTCTGAAGAGAAAATTCCATGTGTAAGCTTTTCCCAATTATAACTCACTTTTAAAAACCCCAACCTCTATAATATTTTACACGATGCGTGTTATTTTTCTAAAGATTGTAGGTTTATGTGTGCGTGTGCCCACTGAGGCCAGCAAACGGGATTGGTCCTGAGGTTGTCTTCTGAGCTCCCTAGCGCTGCATCCCTGCTATCACACGTAAAAGATCTCTTTAGAATCTTCCCTTTGACTTAATGTTCTTTTCTCTTTCAGATCTAAACTCAACATTTTACATTCCAGTCTTCCTGAAGATTATCCTTCAAGTTTGGAATCTGGCCATAGACCTCAAAGAAAAGTTTTCACCATCATCATGTTAGTAATTTGTTGAGGCAGATTTGATACTACAGTCTTTCAAAACTGATAATCTTAACTGATAAGCTAAGCTTACTTTGTTGATTCAATTTAATGATCCTTAAGAAGACCATTTAAGGAGAAAAAAAGGCCTTTCCTACTCCCCTTCTAGTAAGTAAATGGGTGTTTTGAATAAACCATTTGCCTTGTACTCAGTATAAATTCTGATTAAGCCCCACCTTTGCATAGCTGTTGACTGTACAGTCTTTGTGTATATTCCAGTTGCCCAGAGATTTTGATACAAGTGGAGGCAGAAATCTGTGTTTTGTTTTGTTTTGTTATATTTTGAGACAGAGTCTAACTTTGTATCTGAGGCTAGCTTGGAGTTCACTATAGTACTGGTGGACCTCAGACTTGCTGTGATCCTCCTTTCTTGACCTCCTGAGTGCTCAGAACATGTGTATGTACCACCATACCTGGCAGAAATCTATTGAAAGGCAAAAATGATAGGTCTGCTTTTCATATTTAAGTATGTGGCTATTTTTATACTAGTTTTGATACCATGTACATTTTTTTCGTGATTTTATTTTGCAGTCATCAGCTTACTGGAGGAGGGAAGGCATTTCCAAATTGGTTTTTGGGGATTGGGGTTTGTTTGTTTTGGGGGGTGTCGACAGAGTTTTTCTGTGGCCCTAGCTGTTATAGAACTCACTCTGTAGACCAGGCTGGCCTCAAGCTCACAGAAATCTGCCTGCCTCTGCCTCCCAAGTGCCGGATCAAAGATGTGTACTGCTGCCACCACCACCTGGCTCTAAATGTTTTTAGAAACTGGTTTTTAATGCCAATTTTGAATTAAAGTCAGTAATTGCAAAAATTGAACACTAGGTGGTGCTCAGTTGTCTTAACATAGGGAATACTATTTTAATGGTTGCTTTTCTCAACTAGTATGAATAAGAAATTTCCCAAACAAAGAACAGATTGTTTTAATCATGTGTGTAGAATATTTTTACCCAACAGAAAGATTGTGTTGGAGTATTGATTTTTTTTCCAGGAGTCTTATTCACATAAGCTACAATTTTGAGTGCTTTATAAACACATAAAACATAGGCAAGTGAAGATTTAAGTTTATAACTGTATAAATATTACATAGCAAAAGTATAAATTAATGCTTTTTCAGGCTTTCCCTAAACTGAGGGGAAATGAGGGGGTAGCAAGCTTAAGCCTCATATAATGGAGTGCGACCCTGCACGAAAGAGGTCTGGGCAGGAGGATTGGGAGTTCAGTATGTTTTTAGAAACTGGTTTTTAATGCCAATTTTGAAATAATGTCTCAAAAGACAAAGTCAATAAAAAAATTCTTATTTCTGAATCAAAGAGCTATAGCTGAAAAAAATCGCATGCAGAGGATATTATACTCTGATTTTACATTAGGGACAAGTTTACTATGTGGACAGTCTGGGGAGGGTCCGGGGGAATCCTATTTTCTTTCTACTGGGAAATTAGGCTTGCTCTTATTTAGGAGTTGTAAGACTAGGAGCTGAGCTAGTCACAATTCAGTAGACACACTGAAATCGTGCAAGTTTAAAACCAAGCTCCTTCATGCAGCCTGTGGACCTTGTATTCTACTAGCATCCAGAAAACTTGTCATTCATGAGAAGTGATACACAAAGGAATGCACCTTCACATGGTTTCACAAACAAGGAGATCTTTAATTGTTTCTTAACTATGACTTCATCTCCTAGGTTTGCAAACTCTGCCACAAAATCCGAGGTACCATAAAAACATTAGGAAAGACAAAGTGGTGCAGTGCATATTTCGAATTCTGTGGAGTTCCGAGGTGTTTATCTTGGCAGACTGCATCTGAACATTTGTCTTCCTTAACAATTAGACTTCTGTACTTTAAAAGTGTTTCACCAGCTGGATGTAGCACACACCTGCGAAGCCCAGTACTGGGGCATTTGTCATTGACTAGTAGCCAGGGCTACGTAAGGCACTGTCTCAAAAACAATAGTGGAAAAGCATTTTTGCTAAATTTGCAGTAGATTACATTATGAGCAGTGTGCATAGGTGATAACAGCTCAAAAAGTTGATTTTTTACTTTCTGTAATAAGATTTGAAATGTTTTTAGAAATTAGACATGACCCCACTTCCTATATCTTCTGGTGGTTTTTAAATTTTTTTTTCTTCCCTAAAGCAGCATTATTGAGTGTTTTTGTATCCTGGAAGATCTGGAGTCGTATTGATTTTAAATAGTTGAATACAGTTGTATTAATATGGTATGCAAATGCTACCTGGAAGAGTTCTTGGATATGTGTTTGGTATGGGAATTGTATAGCTCACTGATCTAATAAGGAATGGAAATGGTCTTGAAGGAAATTGTTTTCTTTATTTTTGGTTCCTATAGTATAACTCCAAGCAGCACCCGGGAAGAAAAATAAAATGTTTGAAATCCAACAATAATGCTTTATGTTTTGTGGAGGGGAGGATTGTTTTGATTTTTAGGGTTTTGGAGTTTTTTGGTTTTTTGGTTTTTTTTTTTTTGAGACAGGATCTCATGTACCCCAGGCTGGCCTTAAAATACCAATAGCTGAGACCAGCCTCAAACTTCTGATCCTCTGCCTTTACCTCCCAAATGCTGGGTTACAAGTGTGTACAAACACACCAGAGTAGAATAATACATCTTCCTGCTAGGATGAGGTAACAAGTTAGTGCTAATCAATCTGATAGGCTCACACCAAGCTCTTGGTCTGATCCCAACACCCATAGACAAAGCAGTTGGATAGGCTTGTATTCATGTAGTTTCTTCCAGTTAGAGCATGAATATGCTGTGTTGCTGGAGTGGCAACAACACCAAGTGTCTGTGGAAAATGACTTGCCAGCATTTAATCGTTTGCCTGTTGAATCTTTCTTAACCATCTTTTAAGGGAACCACTTTTGGGAGATTACAAAGTATTCATGGTAGGAATGTTTATATTTTATTGGCGAATAGCCATTGGTTTACTCATCCTATATATGGAATTGTGGCTGTAAGTTGTCGCTTAAAAAATTTCGTGACTTGTAATATTACTTAATCTGGATTGTCTTAGTAATAAACTTTAAATTACTGTGCTGATAAGCATCTTGAATAGTAATTGTCAGTGTTGACTGCAGAGTAACTGAATAATCGTATAGGTAATAGCATGTTTTAAATAGCTAGATTTCTACTCATTTTGTATTCTGTTCAGATTTAATGATGTTCAGTATAAGCTGTGGCTTTACAGTTAAAGTATCAGAATGAAGACAGTTCATAAAGATTAAAAAAGGATTTGTATCTGTGTGACACTCATCCTGCTCAGTAAGGATAGGTTTCATCTATATACTGATAGGACTCCCTTGGACTTTTACACTCTACCTTCAAGTTTACAGTTTACCTTAAACCATCATTTTCCATCCTTGTTCAGAAAAGAACAAAATCTGAATTAAGTTGTATTACAAGTGTACGGAAACACTAGACTTAGCAATGGAGAGACTGGACTGGACATCTCTACCAGGTCCTTGAGAGACAATGTGCTAGAAATAGAAAAGGAAGACCATGGGTCCTGGGATCAGTTGCTGTGTATCCCAACCCCTAGTCAACTCTCTCTCTACCACTACCTTTCCAACTTGTCTCAGCTTCACAAGCCTGGCTTGGAATGTAGGGATGATAACAGCATCTACTATAGAATTATTGGAGGGTTAATAACAGACATTTGTATGCATGACACACTTGGCGCCTACTTTTCACATGGTAATCCAGGACTGTGTAAGAAGATGCATGTCTCCTGTATTCCCTATGTACCGTAGCTTTTGCTTGCAGTCTTTAATTCCTGTGATAGAAGGGAGTCGTGGAATATATATTTGTATTGTGTGGACACTACAATGGCTGCCACGCCACCTTTAATTCAGCAGGTAGGAGTCTCAAAAGTTGCTTGGAGCTATTTTATAGAATCCCAACCGCTCTATATTTCTTCAGAGAAAGTTGATAGTTACTAATAAAGCTGGCTATGGTGATGTGTCATTTTTATGCTTTAATGAGTCCTTTTGCCATAGATACCTTTCCCGTCATGTGGAACAATGTAAAGAAGTCAGTTGCAAAGTACAATTAGAAAATAAAACATGAAAACAACCCAATGGTGTATACAGTTGTTTGTTTTCCTACGAAGGTTTTTGACTACTTGGATGTTAAAGATGATTCTTTTCTGAAATCTTATGGGCATCACATTAGAAGAAAAAGTACACTGTCCGTTTCCTGTTTTTATCTGGCTTTGGTTTGAACTGATAGGATGCACACTCCTGCTCCTGTGAAAACCTGTACTAAAGAGGACATTTTCTAACCGGCAGCCAGTTTTCCAGTGTGATCTCAAATTACTAAAAGGGATATTCAGTGGACATTTTATGCTGTCCAAATATGTATAAGTGAACTAAAGTTCTGGCCAACTTGTCCACTTTGACTCTGGTGTTAATGGGAATGAGTTGCAAAACAGGACCTCACTGCGAAACCCAATTGGACCTTGAACTCCCAACACAACTGTCTCAGCCTCCGGGGTGATGGGGTTACAGGCATGTGCTATTCACCGTCCCCAGCACAAGGCCCAGGCCAGAAAGTTTCTGAATTTGAATGTAAACTCAGTTTTTCCTTTACTGTGAATTGACACAGATACTGACCAGGTATTTGACCTTGCTTCCTACATACCCAGCAAGTAACCAGGATCTACAGTGTATGCCAACTGACCTCCAAGTCTGGCACTGCCTGGAGATAGTCACATCCCCACAAGCTGAGCTTGTCCCCAAGGTTGTACCCCACCTTCCACAGATGCAGATTACAAGCTCCAATGTTTTATTTTTTGTTTTTTGTTTGTCAAGACAGGGTTTCTCTGTTTAGCCCTGGGTGTCCTAGAACTCACTCTGTAGACCAGGCTGGCCTCAAACCTGAAAATCCATCTGCTTCCCAAGTGCTGAAATTAAAGGCGTGCACCACCACAGCCCGGCTTGTTTTTCTTTAAAAAAAAAAAACTTTTTGTTGGTTCTTTATGAGTTTCATGCCATGCACCCCAATCCCACTCATCTCTAAAATAAAGCACACAAAAAGAACATAGAAAACATGGAAGATGTAATGTGTAACAGTGTGTCTCACAGTGTACACTTCTGTCCACGCTTGCGAATGTTCACTGCAGTGCGTCATTGGTCTGGTTTTAGGTCTCTAGCTTCTGTGACACCATCAATACTGGATCCTCACCAGGTCTTCTCCCAGTTATCTTGTTGCCCTGTGTCATGGAGATCCTACAGCTTTCGATCAGCAGGACTGGGCCTTTAATGGGTCCCTGTCATTCAGCAGATGATAAAGATTTTGGGGTGGGCCAGCTTAGCCCTGGGTCTGGGTGATAGCTGGGCTGGTCAGCACACTGGCTCTCTTATCTACACCACCAAAGCAAGCTCTCTAGCACCTCTCCAGCTAGGCCACCCAATGCCTCCATCAGCAGGAGCCAGGGTCAGTCAGCTCTCCTGTTCTCATGCCCTCAGGGCAGGCTCATCTGCATCCACTTCCAGAGCCAGCTCCACTGTGCTGCCCAGTTAAGGATCAGAGAAGCGCCCAAGTTTTTAACTGCTTCTAAACAATAGGCCATTCGGTATCATTGAGGTTTTTCACAACCTCCTTGGCTTCTGGAGTCTTTCAGAGAATTGAGGGAAATTCTATGTTGATTATAAAAGTTACTACAAAGGATACTGAAGAATGCCTGATAAAGAGTTGAATGGAATAGGGACACAGAGCTACCCTGAGCTCCAGGAGCCACTTTTATTTGGGGTTCGTGAACTCTAAACTGTGTTAGACTTCGTTATATAAGCCTGCTAAGTCATGGGCCAATGATGAGGTGAAGCTGAAATCCCTGACCTGCTTTCGAATTTCCTGTGACTGGGCCCTATCCTGAAGCTACTTGGCATTGCCAGCCACCAGTCATTAGTGTAATACTTTGTAAACTGTAGCCGCCTGCGGCCACGAGTCAAACGGGTTCACCTGGAAAGAGGGCTGGGAACGAAACGGGGATGGAGAGCGAGAAAAGATGAAGCCAAGACAAAGTTCTCTGATCAAGGCTCGATGGTTTAGTGTTAAGCTTTCAATTTAAAGGGGAAGACCCCACCAAACCCTTCAGTTTCAGCCAGGTGAGATGGGTGGGATAATCTGTTCTTGGTCAAGGGTCAAGGCCAGAGAGGTCTCAAGGCAAGCCCAGGGGCAGTTCTTCTTTCAAGTTCCTGTAGCAGGATCTACGTGCAGCCAAGGTGGGTGACTCCACCTAGGTGTCTATTGATATGCAGCCAAGGTGGTTAGTTCCACCTAGGTCCTATTATCTGGTCTCTTGTAGTAAACAGGGTCTCGGGCCTGCTCAAGGCTGGAGGAAGGGCACAGTAAACTGCCATACTTTGCAAGGAGTTTATATATTTTAATTGTGTGTGTGTGTGTGTGTGTTGTAAGAACTTCAAATGCAAGGGATCGGTGAAAACCAGATACAATTTTACCAAGATATTTACCAAAGCAAAACGGACTTTATTTAACATCAATGCAGACTGAGCTGGAGAGAGAGCTCAGTGGTTTAGAGCCCTGGGTGATAGTATAGATGGCCCAGGTTCCATTACCAGCAACCATACACCAGTTCACAAGTATCAGCAGTGCCGGTTCCAGAGGATGGATGTCCTCTTCTGGCCTCAGGCACTAGGCAGTCGAGGGGTTCACATGGAGGCTTGCAGGCAAAACACTAAGACATCTTTAGAAGCAAAGAAAAAGAATGACTCTTGAAGACCTCCGCAGAGGGGAGACCCTCTCTCAAGTCTCAGAAAGTTGCGACCACCCAGTAATTCAGCTCCTGCGTGGGCATATGAATTGACCGGCAGCTAGTTGTCACACCCTAATAAACAACCTCGCAATTGCTCC